GCATGTTGTGAGCAAGTCCAGAGTCGAGTCTGATTGCAGAAACAGAGCTCGCTTCCATACCCGTCCGGTGTCAGATGTAGAACTGAAAGGAAGATTCAAACAAGCAGTTCAAACAGCGATCGGGGGGGATTGGAGAAGGAGGGCACTATCAGGGAGTGGAAGCAGGAGACAAATGGAGTGGTTCAGGCGGACTTGGGCAAGGCAAGATCAGCTGGCAACAGGGCATCCGAGTACAGGCAACTACCGTCGTCCCCCAAACATAACGCACCGTAAAAATGAAAGTATGCAAGTTATATTTCCGGCCAGATGCAGCCAAAATGAGGGTGCGTTGTGTTCGGGGGAAGACGGTAGGAGTCAGAAAGGCGAGGAGGGAATGAGAATCGGAGCAGGTGTCCTAGGAGAGGTAAGTCAGTAAGGAACAGCGGAAGAGGTCACTCAGTAGCTGTGGTGGCAGCAATATCAGTTCAAAGCTTGCTCTGTTCTAAATGACAGCCTCCATCTAGTCAGACAGGGTGAAAACTGAATCAATTTGGTGGCAAACTGATCTCTTCTAAGCCTGGTATAGGTAGGGACTGTGGAAGAAATAACAAACACTGTATAACTAGCTGTTTCTGCTACTGTGGGGTGCGGTGTTTAAGCTTGAAAACTGTAGTGGTTGATAGAATACAGACAAGATCAGACAGAAGATAGGTAATAGAGGAGGAGGAATAGAAGTAATCAGGTATATAGTTGTGCCAAAACCGGAGGAATAGAAGTAATCAGATATGTAGTTGTCCCAAAACTGGAACACGCTCTATTTGTGACAGGGGAACTACAAAGAGACTAAACTCCAATTGACTGAGCTCGGGTGCCATGGGGTCTCGTTAAAAAAGCCAACAACCGGTAATGCTCGCAGAACTGGGTAGAATTGTGAGGTCCCCGGTCTCCCATGGGGTCTTGTTAAAAGCCAACACTGGGTGATGCTCCAAAAACTGGGTAGAATTGTGAGGTCCCCGGCCTCAAGATTGAATTTTGTAATATGAATTGAACGTGTTTTTATCGGAAATAAAAGGAAAAAAAGGATGCACAGGAGAGGCAGGGGGACCTGGAAAAGAGGGGGAAAGAGGGGGAAAGGCGGGAAAGAGAGGGGAGGGAAGGGGGGAAGAGATGAAACAAGCTCGTACAACGTTTCATAGTACAGACAAAAGGAAGCACAGGAGACGCAGGGGGACCCGGAAAAGGGGAAAAGGGGGGAGAAGAGGGGGGAAAAGAGGGTGAGAGTGAAACAGAGGGAAAGAGGGGGAAAGGGAGGGGGGCAAAGAGATGAAATAAGCCCGTACAACGTTTCATAGTACAGACAAAAGGAAGCACAGGAGAGGCAGGGGGACCATGAAAAGGAGAAAAGAGGGGGAAAGGTGTGG